TGTGTGCATACGCGTGTTTACTTTAAGTTAACTTCATCCTCTAAAGGACACACAGTGCCCATGTGGAAGGAATGACAAACTGTACTCTCTACTTTATCACGAGTGGCATACGGCAACTGACTTTCACAGGGTGCTGCTTCTGGAATTTGTGCCAAGCTTGAGTAGTCACAGCCAACCAATGTTTGCAAGTCAGCCATGATTTGACAAAATGAGACTACGGGTGGATGCTTGATCACTACCCAAGTCATCACCGACGCTGCTCACGCCACTGACGAATGAGTGACAGACCAGCCAACACGAACAGTGGCTGAAGTCCTTGCTTGTGTTAATGAGAAAGTAAAGTTGAGATCATGTATATTGTAACTCCCCTTCTCTGCCGACGACAGGAGGACCTCTTGAGGCACCGCAAGGGTTTGAAAACACTGAAAGGACATCACCGCAAATATTTTCACTATTCACAACGAAAAGGCTACAGACAGGACACACTTGCAGCCTAATCTGCACTAACATTTTCTCTGTCGCTTTATTAAGTTTAGGTGACCCACAAAGCAGTAACACGAGGCCTCGGTTTTCGGCACTGGACAATTTCTCTGGTGTGACTATTGCCACCGTATACCGTTTCAAACTCCCAGGATGCCGAGTTGGGAAGAAATGTGCATAGCACTCCATTACGGCAGCATTTCCACCATTTGGAAGCCACGGACAGTTTGCAAAAATTCCTCAGAATCCAGTAGTTTTCTGGAATGAGCCCGAGCCGGCTCTGGCACGGTACAGACTACACCTCATTTTTCTAGAACGGAGCCCTGTCACCTGCAGAAATTGCTTTGTTAAGATGAAAGAACAAACAAACCTCAAGCATCTTGTTGCGAAGTTAGCTGTACATAAGTCAGCTTGTCGTTTACATGTACCAGCTGAACAAAATGACGGTGTTCTCAAAACTGAGCTGTACCTGCCACCCAAATGATCAGCATTCTCCACCATCCATGCCGGGTGGTTAGATCCCCAGTAGCGATGAGGCCCCTGTGGCCGCGTCCCCGTCCCGTGTGGAACGGAGCAGGTTGCATGGACTGGGGCGTCACCAGAAACCAGCAGAGAGGAGAGTTTGAAAGGGGCCAGTCTGTCCTTTCCTTTGGTGTAGCTGAGTCCAGCGAGGTTCATTACTCATCCAAAGTCACAGATAGGCAAAGCTGATAGCAAAACCTGTTTTTATTTGTGAAATAGTTTCTGCTGTGCTCATTTCCGGCCCCCCCCCACCGGCCCCCACAGCGCCCAGGTGAGGTCACTGCGATAAAGCGATTCGAACTTCTCTCACTTCCGGGATAAAGGAGCCCCTTCAGCGGCACCGTTTGGGGGAGCACAGTGTTAAGAAGCAGACAAGAAACTTCTCGTCGTGCTCACACGCTTGTATCCTTAGGGGTGTTCATTGTTGGTCGGCTTTTTTTCTGTTTCATTACACTGTTGACCGTCGTTCTTTTAAGGCCCGGATGTGTTCATGCCAGAGAGTAATCATTTACAAATTAATAGCAAATGAACTGGATGAGTCTCATGTTGAACCAGCCAGGCCTCCAGCGGACCGCGGAGTCGGGATCGCAGGCGACACTTGGATCTGACAGTGGAAACCTCAGGTCCCGGAGAACTGCTGCAGGCACAAGGTGCCTTTGGAAAACGGGCTGTTGGCCAGTCTCAGTCGGGTGCTGAAAATGTGGTGGGTGAGAGGGGAATGTTTTCTCCTCTTCCCTGGAAATAATGAGTCTGAAACTCTGTTTCTTTTCTTTCATTTGTTTTCCTTTTTCTTAAAACAACGACAAAAAAAACTATACAAGTCTACAACCTTGTATCTGAAACCCCTTGGGGCCATTGTGAATTCTGTGTGAAATTCAGAGTTTTTCAGATTCATAAATAGGTAATACAGCAGCAATATTAGTCTGTCACCCCTAGTGGGATCTGGGGCAATATTCCATAATTAAGCACATTTATATTTTGCAGCAAAATATTTTTAAAAAATGTTTGTGAGTAGTGGCAATGGAATTCTATGCAGCAGAGAGAAAGAAGGAGCTACTACCCTTTGCAACAACATGGATGGAACTGGAAAGCATTATGCTGAGTGAAATAGGCCAGGCATTGAAAGACAAATACCATATGATCTCACCTTTAACAGGAAGCTAAACAACAAAACAAACAAGCAAGCAAAATAAAAACAACAACACTGAAATCGAGAACAAGGGGACAGTGACCAGAGGGGAGAGGGAAGGGAATTTAAGGGAAAAAAAGGGGAGGGATTTTGAGGAACAAATATGAAGAACACAGGGATGAGAACTAAGGGGGGTGGAAATGGGAGGGAGGTGGGGAGCGCGGGGCAGGATGGACTGGGATGGGAGAAATAGAAAACTGTACTTGAAAAATAACTAAATAAAATTTTTAAAAAATTTTAAAAATCACATAAAAATGTTTGTGAGTAGTGGAATAAGCAAGACTATGAATGGCCTCACATCAGTTCATTTCAGGTCCATTTTATCACTGACAAGAGTTCATTTTAAAACTTTAGCCCTGGCTGGTGTGGCCAGTGGACCGAGTGCTGGCCTGTGGGCTTGCAGGGTCGCCAGTTCGATTCCAGGTCAGTGCACAGGCCTGGGTTGTGGGCCAGGTCCCCAGGTGGGGGCATGCGAGACGCGACCAATGTATGTTTCTCTCCCTCTCTTTCTCCCTCTTTCCCCTTCTCTTTAAATAAATAAATAAATAAGATCTGGAGAACTAGGTCATTGGAATTATTCAGACTCGAACATTCTGGATAAAGGGGGGCGGGTGGGTAAAAGCATTATCAGCATCACCTTCTTTTCACACATTAAAACTGAGTGTGTGTTTCTGTGTGCATAATGTTTTCTTGATCCTCATTCCACTGTATTATTATCATTTGGGAATTGCTTGTTGTGTTAATGCCAGAGGTGCGTCAGCTGTGCTCGGCTCCGATCTGGCTTGGTTGTCTGAGACTCTCGGGGAGGCTGCAGGGAGGAACCGCTTTGCGTTCTCTCCCAGGTGTGGGGGTGACTTCCTTTCCACCAGCTTCTCATCCACTTGCAAAATGCCACGTGGCTTTGCGATTTTATTTTTGTGGCTACTAAAAGGAGGACCCTTTAGTGTCTGAAAAGTTATATTAAACTATAAGAAACAAGAACAGGAGTTGCATATAAAGACACAACAAGAGAACAACTCCAAGGTCAACTTTGTCCTTGGAGAAGTCTTGATCGGCCTGGTTAATGCTGCACTTCCTGCCAAGGCAAACACTGCTTGCTCTTCCTAAATCCTCATCGCCTGAGAGACACTAGTCCTCAAAAAAAAAAAAAAGACTTGAAAAGTTATGCAGGATATCCTGCAATGTTGATGAACAACAACGATGACGACAAAAATCCAAAACACACCCCCCCAGCTGCAAAACTGGCCAGGAAGGGCCAGCATCTGCCTGAGGGGGGGGATGGGGTGCATTAGTATGAATGATTCGTACAGAACTTGAATTGTAGTGAGCTGCAAACAGAGGAAACCACCAAAGTCACTAAAAGGATAAAAAAAAAACCCATAAAAGAAGGACAGGAGAAGGAATGCTACAGTTTTTAAAATGGTAACTTATTGCCTAGTGTAGTAAGAAAGCTAATGCAGCTTTTTCAGAAAGCTAAATTTCACATGCAACACTACTAAAATACCAAAGGCCATACATAATGTCTGACCCCAGCCGCCACCTCATATAGCAAGTTCTCACATGGGAGTTTAAAAAAGACGGCTTGACTGGCCCACTGTCCTGGGGCCTCCGGGGTCCGCAGCGTCTGCGGCTCTGAATTTCCAACGTCTCCCGCACTTCCTCCGTTTCAGAGGCACAAAAGGGTTTTGTCAAGTTTCTCTTGGTTTTATCGCTGGCGGCTACAGAAACGGTGCCACGGGCCTGGTGTAGAGTTCCAGGGTGCGATTTTCTTTGGCTAGTGCCTTCAGAGCTTCTGGACTTTCAGAAATTAGCAGAGTTTCCTTAAGAGCCGGCAAGTGAAAACCTGTACTGATTCAAACTGTTGACTGGACCCGGTGTGGCGGAGATTTGCCCTCTGTTGTCGCACGTTTTCTATGAAACCACACGGAAATGCTCTGGGATCAGTTATCTCCCCCAGGCCGGGTGCTGGGCTAGGACCCGAGAACCATTTTCAAGGAACCGAGAATGACCTGTGCTTACACAAGCTTAGAAAACTGGCCCGGGACGTTTACTGGGGGCGCCGTGTGCACCCCGAAGGGCTCCGAGCCAGGGGGACATGAATTTGGAGACCGTTGGGCCACTCGCCGGGCGCTCTCCAGCACGTTGTCTTCCATGTGAAACCAATACCCACCTCTTCACCTGCCTCGTAAGACGGTGGAGACGAGAGGGTCTACACAGAGCACCGACGTGCCCGTCTAAGGCCATTTCTGGTCATTGTTACAGAACCGCAACCTGGAGGCCGGCTGCCGCCCGGCGGCGCGCAGCAGGCATTTGTCTCGCAGGTGCGCGCCCAGGGCGGAGCGCGCCGGCCGGCAGGGGGCGAGCGCCTCCCACTTTCCCCTTCGCCTGCACAGGTAGGCCCCGCGGCTCCGGGGAACCCCAGGAACGGTGCCCAGGACGGCTGGGGTGGGTAGGGACGGGGAGGCGGGCTGTGGCTGGGCCCGGGCCAGTGCCCTGCGCACGCCCTCGCGGAGCTGGGACGGGGTTGGGGCCTGGGACCGTGCACCCGGCCCCCCGGGCTCCGCGGGGCGGGTCGTCGAGCCCCAGCGCGCGGCGCGGGGTCCGAGCGCGGAGACAATGCGGCGCGCGGCGTGGGGCGAGCGGCTCGGCGGGTCGGGCGCGCGCCGCCTTCCTTCCTGCTGGCTCAGCTTCCAGGCGGCGGCGAGCGCGCGGATTGGCGGCCCGGCCCCCGGCGCCGCCCCGCCCCGCGCCCAGCCGGCCGCCGCCCCCGGCCCGGACCCGCCCCTCTCCGCCGGACTCGCTCGGGGCCCGCGGCTGGGTGGCGGGCAGTTCCCGCCGGCTCTGCGCGTCCGCCTCGGGGCTCGCTCGGGAAGGCAGGCGGCGGCCGAGCGCTGGGCGCGGCGGGCGGACGGGCCGGGCCCGAGCTGCGCGGGGCTGCGCGCGCCGCCCCTGCTCCCGCCGCCCCGGCCCGTGGCCGGCCCACCCGCGCCCTGCGGCGGCTCCTGCGGCGGCAGCGGCCCGCGCCCCGGCGCTTCTCTTTGTCCGCGGGCCGGGCGGGCGGCGGAGGCGGCGGAGGCGGCGTCCCGGCGGCCGGAGGGAGCCCGCGCGGCGGCTGAGGCGGCGGCTCCCCGGCGGCCGGCCGCGCGCGCGCCGCGGCGATGCCGGACCAGATCTCCGTGTCGGAATTCGTGGCCGAGACCCATGAGGACTACAAGGCGCCCACGGCCTCGAGCTTCACCACGCGCACGACGCAGTGCCGGAACACGGTGGCGGCCATCGAGGAGGTGAGGGCGCGCGTGGGCCTCCCCGGGCGGGCGGCTCGGGCCGCAGGTAGCTCCGCGCCCTGCCCGCCCCACTCTGTCCCCTCCCGCATCCTGGGAAAAGTTTCTCTTCCTTCAAATCCGGACGCGGCCAGGCTCCCGGTGCCCGAAACAGAAGCCCTTTGTTCGGTGTAGGTGGCTCGGAGGACATGGCTGATGGCTACCTCGGATCTTTTAAGACCCTCTCCCCCCATTTCCTCTGCGGGCCCCGGGCCGGCCGGTTTCCCCGGTGCGCCAACTTCGGCCCGAAAGTCGGGGTGGGCGGTAAGCGGGGCTGGGGGCCTGGCTCACCGGCCCTGCCCCGGCGCCCGCCTCCCGACTTGTTCGAGAGGTGCCCCTGCCTGCAGCCTGTTCCGCGGGGCAAGTGTGAGCACCGAGCCCCTTCTCCCCGACTCTGGATCTGCCTGAAGGAACCGGCTGCCCAGGCAAAGTGTGCACACCTCCGCCCGCGGGGACCCCGCGCGGCGCACGCCCGGGAGAAGAGTGAGGGACGGCGTGTGGAGGGCCTTGCTTCTGGTCCAAAGGCCTTTGCTAGCCGCCCTCAGTTACCTGTGTCTCACCTGTGACCCCTGACCGCCTCCCTTCCCCACCAGCCTGTAAAAGGCCTGGTTTTGGTCAAGGTGCAAAGTCATGCCGCCCAGTGCTGGCTGTGCTAACCAGCGAGCCCCCCACGTCCTGCAGAGAGGGCACCTAGGAGGGAACAAGCTTCTTAGGTGGACAAAGCCGCGGGCAGTGTTGGGGGGCAGAGTGTGTGAGCCCAGGGCCACGGCCGACGGGCTTGGGGCCGCTCCTCACCGCTCTGCCCTGGCCTCTCCTGCGATTCGAAGGGGCTGGTTGTGCCCCCCCTTCCAGGGCTGCGGAGGGGGTCGGGCGCTGTGTGTAAAGCGCTCAGCACTCTGCTTGGCTCGTAAAAGGTAACCGGTTTACGAGCCAGAGGCGCGCCAGTGCCGAAGAGACGATTGCATTTCTCGCGGCCAGAATGTCAAGTTACAGCCTTGAAATGGGGGTTTGGTAGGTGTGTTCGAAGATGACCAGGCTGGCGTGAGTGAGGGGAGGTCACCAGCTTTAAGTGAAGCGTCGGCGTTCCTTTCCCCCATCCCCCCACCCCCTCACTTGAACAAAGCCTCTGCTGTTAGGAATGGCTTAGGGGGAAAAAAAATCCAGAATGTTTCTCTTAATGGAATTTTTTCCCCTTTGTAGACACAGTCAATAATAGGCTAAATCAAAATGAACAGATTCAGCATTCTGACCGTTGTAAGTGCAGCTAAGTCATCCTCCCAGTCTCCTCATTTCCTCCTCCCTTGTATTTGTTTATTTATTTATTATATATTTATTTTGGCAGAGGAGGGCTGCCTGTGAAGCATTCGTAGCAAGTTCTGTGATTCCCACCTCACTTAATTCTACTTGAATCAGCAGGGCTTAAACACGATGTCTTCAAATGAGACAGATGGGAGGGCGCAAGAAGTTTTTTTCAGAAGTGCTGGGCAAGAGAATGTTCATGACGTTGGGAAACACAACATTAATAATGTCTGTGGGGGGACAGCAACGCAGAAGGCGGCTGCCTTTCTTCAGGGAAGGAAGCTCTGTACCCGACGCCTTTAAAAAGGCTCGATCATGTTTGAAGTTCAGTTTCTTTTCCCCTCTGCCATTTATCAGTTCAATATTATTAACTCTGGCAGATGTTGGGAAGCTAGGCAAATAGGAATTGCTGTTCCAATTGGCATGCCCTTCCTCTGATTAATTTTCGTCTCCAGTTTGAAATTCCAAAGCTCTTCTTGTGGGCTGCTCAGGGGCTTAGCCCAGAGCCTCGGTTACTGAGCAGATTAAAGAGACGGGATTCGGTCATTTTATTAAATTGCGAGCTCGCTCCACATTGCAAGTGGGAAAAGATTGAAGTCGGGACAGGCCTGGTTCGCTTGGGGCAAACCCAGCGTGCGTAACTAGGGTGACGGCACTCGGAAGCTCGGGTTGTGAGAGCCGGGTTTGACAGTGGTTTGCTTTCTGGGAGAATCACCTTGCATTCATTTAAGTCAGGGGCGTCAAACGGGGCGTCAAACTCCTTTTCACCGGGGGCCACATCAGCCTCGCAGTTGCCTTCAAAGGGCCGCATGTAATTGCAACTCCTTAGCAGTTAAGGAGTAGTTACATGTATACAGTCCTAAAATTATTTCGGCCCTTTGAAAGTAACCTCGAGACTGATGTGCCCTGGCCCCCCTGGGAAAGTGAGTTTGACGCTCCTGAGTTTGAATCATGCTCTTTCCCAGGGTGTTTAATGTTTATCCCCCTGACCAGCGCTTGTTCTTTATATGGTGTTGTTAACTAGTGGTACCCGCATGTTTGGGTTTTAAACAAGCATCTACTTCTCATACTGAAAAGAGGCATGAGAACAGGAACTGTGACACCGAGGTACCGATGTAACAGAAGCAAAGTAAATGTAACGTTTGCGGGCCCTTGCTTCTGTGTTTAAACAAATGAGTCACGGAATTAGTAAAGTAATTTTCAACTGATTGACCTTTGTAAACCTGTTCTTTCCGATACAGGTATGTCTGCCAAAACTCGTTCTATAGCTGAAATATGCCTTTTGTTTTATGTGCACACCTGCCGCTGGACTCTCGGTGGCCTTCGGGTCCCTGCCACATACTGTGAATTTCACGCCTGCTGTACCCTCCTCATCCCCGCTTTATACATGAGGAAGCCGGGAGAGGTGAACTTGCTCAAGGTTATGGAGCTGGTAAGGTGGAGAGCTGGACTTTGAACCTGGGTCCCTGCTGTTTTGAGAACCAGATGCTGCTTTCTGTTACTTCATAACCCTGGATTCTCTAAATTACTGCTCTGTCTGGTGGGCCTGGGTTCAAGTTCAGAGTCCCCCACTTGCCAGGTGTGTGAACTTGGGTGAGACACCTAGTGTTTTCGTGTTTTCCTCGGCTTTCAAGTCTGGCTAACAATGCCTGTGTAGTTCAGAAGGTCACGGTGAGAGTTTAATGAGCAAATAACAGTACAATAACTAATAGACAGTTGGTTTAATAAATGGTTTAATAAACTGCTTAATAGACTGTGGCTAGTCCACAGAACCTGACAAGCGGGTTGAGCCCTTCAGTGAGAGTTGGATGAGGGGTAGGAGGGGAGCGGAAGTGAATGGTTCCGTGAGTGAGTGGATGGAAAGCTACTCTGTGTCTGTGAACCCCTGCTTATTTCTTTAACCAGTTTCTTCTCTTGGCAACAGGTCAGCAGGTAGCTGCGGTTTCAATTTTTCATTTGGTTACTGTCTCTGGGCGAAATGATTGTTTCCCATGGTGTTAGCGAAGTCTGGTCTTGCCCTGTGGGGCACACTCTGTGGTTTGGGAAGCAGCGGAGACAATACGAGAAGCAGTGGCAGAAATCTGAAAACTGAGCTTTTCCTCTTTTTTTTTTTTGGGGGGGGGAGCATTATTTCTGCCTCAGTTTGAGTCTCTGGGTGAAATAGGGGAGAAATGTGTGCACACTTGGAATTTCCATGTGTGTAGTTAAAACTCCCCTTCAGAGTACCATCCGTTCTTAACTTGGTTTTGTTACATCTGTGGCTTTAAAAACAAACACATTTGACGTTGACTTGTACGTGTTAAAATTTAATCTTCTTCCTTCTGGGCCGTACTTCTCTACGCTGTTGTCCTTGGTCTCCTGCGAAATCTCCGTGTGGTCCCAAGTACAGGGCTCTACCTGCAGGGGTGGGACCCCCAGAGGCCTCGCCTCCCCCGAGATGGTGAGAGGAGGACCCAGGCCCGTGGGCTTCTGAGGCAAGACTGGGACTGTGTCTTAGCCTTCGTGACCTGTCTGAGAAACTGCTCTTCCAAAGCCCAGACTCACAGACTGGGGCTCTGTCATCAGAAGGACGCCCCCTTCCTGGCCACGCATCTCCACCGTGTGATGCCAGGCTTGGAAATTTTTGAGTCCCTCAGGGAAGAAGCGATCTCTTCTGTGGACACTCCCCGACTCTGTCCATGCCCATTCAGTTTCCCCCTTTCTGTGGTTAATATCCATCCGTACCAATGCTGCTCCTGGTGGGCCGCACACCCTGCCGCTCATCCAGGGCGGGGAGGACCGAGAGGAGTCAGCACCCCTTGGAAAGAGCCTGCAGCTCCGAGGGCGAGGCGGACACCCTGCAGGCAAGTCAGGCGTTGTCCGGGCTGTGGCCACAGACTATCCAGGAACACACCCCACACCTGGGGACGGGTGTGGTCAGATGCCCCGGGCTGTGGTCCTGAGGGCCTTGTCCCGTGGCGTGATTGGGTGGTGAAGTCAACCTAGTCACCACGTGCTTGAGTCACAGAGGTGTCTTGATAAGGTCTTCCTGGTCTGCCTTCCTGCCTTAGGTAAATACTGGTCTGTGACTGAAGTGGTGGCGGACTGGCTGGATTTTCCCAGCCACCCACTTCTCAGAGGGCTGCTCGGGCCAAGAATTGGGAGCAATCCCTGGTTCTTCTTGCTCCCTCCACATTTCCAGGCTCTGGTCCCTTTCCTCGGGGACCATGACCCTTCTGGACCTGCACTGTCCCATGGATGGGCCGACACAGTTCTGCTTCTCGGCCACACCGACCACATTCCAAGTGCTCAGAAGCCACGTACATAGTGCATATTTGGAACATTTCGTCACTGCAGCAAGCCCCACTGCACACTGCAATTCAGAGGTGGTCTCCTGACCTGGGGGCTGGTGGGAGCACAGACCCTCAGACCTGCCGGGTCAGAACTGACAGTTCAATAGCATCCTCAGGCTCAACATGTGCATGAGAAGGGCAGTCTAGGCCGTGTACCCTGGCGTCGCCTGCGAACCATGGGCGGCGGGGGGGGGGGGTGCATTTGTAGAGAAGAGACTCTGGCCCCCCTCCTCTCCCCTCCCCTCCCTGCACTTCTGGCTTGGTCAGTGTGGGCAGGGCCTGGAGCATCAGCTGCTATGTTTTCCTTCCTCCTGGCTCCAGAGTTTAGGACTT